CTTCAGGCTCTCCCTCACAGACAACCTGTCAGTGGCTAACCACAAGACAAGCAGGTTGCCTCGGGAGCATGGCAGTGCTGCCATGCAATCCAATTGCAGGTTGCCTTTCTGCCACCTGCAGTCCAGACCCTTGGAAAACACAGTGCCATCTCAACATTAGCTTTGATCCATGTAACCTTCTTTAAAAATTCTAAAAGCAACATGTTAAAAACAGTTGGTGAGCTTCACGTAACTATGTTCTTCTCTGGTTTATTTTTTAATTTTCTCCCTCCTCTCCATTTGTTTCCTGGTTCTGACTGGGAGGAAATGTCAAAAGACTGAAAAAGAGGCTATTTGTACAGCCAACTGGAAGAAGGAAGCACCTGAACTCATGAGAACATTTTCTTGTGAGCTTAGTTATGCTTGCTTGAGAGGTCCCAATAATTAATGCAGTGCATTTGCAGGGGTGGGAGTTGTGTCCATTATAAGACATGTATATCCTTAGTTACATGTTATCCTTAGAATTAGTAACAATTCTGGTTTGTTAAATATTGGTGCTCTCATTATTTGAGTTTTTTAAGAGTTTCATTCATGTCCTCTCTAGAATCAAAACGTCAATAAATGAGCAAATTTGTGCTTACAGGCACAATAACATTAAATGTAGGTACAAAGCAACGAGTGTTCTGAAGCAAGAATGGGTTTTAGGCTGTAGTTAAAGCTTCCTGTTAGTAAACACATCTCTGGGACTAGAGGATATTGTTGTGAAGCAGTGTTTATACTTTACCAGATGAAACATTTAAAAGTTGGATGATAATAAAGCAGCCCCCAAAGTAGCTAATGGACATTCTGGCCCTGTCCACAGTAGTAGCTGCCACAGAGGCTGTACTGTTTCCTTGCCTGTTCTCTATCTCAATTTGGCAGTTTAAAAAAAGTGTTGTACAATAAATACTCCCGGGACTTCCACGCGATTGCTGAAAAACCTAAACTGCATTTAGTTTGTTTATAGAAAGTCCTGGGGCCCTGCTCTGCAGAGCAAAGGTCATGGAAACACATGTTTATGGCTTCACAAATGCACTGTACTCCTTGAATGGGGAAGCTTATTTGATTTAATCAGCATCCACGGGGATCCTGTAATTGCATAATAAGTAATTTATTATGGAAGTAAAAGTATTTTTCTAACTGTAGCCTCTGTAGCATGGGTTTGTAGCTTTGGACTAATCCACGTAGTAAAAAGAGCTTTGCAAAACAGTGTGACTGGAGTAATGGTGTTCTGTGATGAGCGTGTATTTGCATGGCTATTTAATCACCACAAAGTGTTAAAACAACAGGCACATTATCACCATGTTGGATGTAAAAACTGTTCACAGTTTGCCTGCCTTCAGCAACTGGAAGTCCTCAATGTGAGAAACTGGAAAACCATCCCAGATAATCCAGTTGGTGGGCGGTGAATATGAGACAGGGGGAATCCAAAGTTTGTCTTTCTGTCATACACTGGAACATGGCCTTTCAGCTGCCTGACTTCACCTTGGATACCTAATTACAAACAGATACGTTAGCATACAAAAAAAATCAAACCTATGGTTGTTTGGCTGTCATAGTCTTTTCACAGAAATAATCATTGGCTGGGTCATGAATGACACCACTGGGAGGTTGGTGTCAAGCCAACCTTGTAACATCCTTAAAAGCACTTGCAGATAGGGAAGAGAGAGATACGGAAACTAACCCACCTCTTCTAGGGAACACGCTGGTGCAAAGCTCGGGTCTCTGAAACCAGACAGTCCTTGCACAGGTTGCAGACCAGTATGCATCTCTTCTGGAAAAGCTTCTGAGACTGCACATTATGGTGGTCGTTGCTGATGATCAGGTTTTCCCATTTGCTAGCTTGTCTTAAACTGAGGGAGTGGTTGAAGGACCCCGATTCCAAACAGACATTTGTAGTTTTAGAAAGAAAACTTGGGAAATGAGTTTGATATTTGCTGAGTTTCAGAGTGCTGACGTTTTCTTTCTAACAGCTGATGATCTCAGTAGCAGCAGAAGTAGGTGGTTCTGAATTTCCTGTGAGTGTTTGCAGGGTCCTAATGTTTTTGTAGATCTTGGAATTCATTCTTTCATATCTAAATAAAAGTGGAAATACAAGGTAAGTTAACTATTTTCACAGCTCACCGACTTGCAAGCATTTAGCTATGCTTATAGTGTGTAAGCCCCAGTCCATTGAGATTTTGGACCATCATCTCCTTCTCAGCTGTATCCTGGTCCAGTGAAATATCCCTTTTATAACTGCTTTTCCCTGGCCATGCTGTGTCACACATGTCAATACTTGGTTATTAATACTCAACTCAAGACAAAATGTAGCCTAAAGCTCTTTCAGATTAGCCATGTCAAGTTAAAAAGTGGTTCTAGTTATCATGACAGGAAAATCCAAAGACCCATTTTGAAGAGTTCAAGGTGTGAAATTGGGTTTTTGGCACCTGAGTTGGGCGAGGCAGGTAGGAGGAAGTGACAGAAAAGGATATATAGGCTGGTTTTGTGTGGTTTCCTTACTTCTGTGTTCTCTTTTTTTATATTGTTGTTTGAAGTTATTGTGTATTTTCCTCCAATTTATACTCTAATATATTTTCATTTTGCTCACTTTTCCCTCAGGAACATTTTCTGCTTCTGCATAGATAAGAGTTTATTATTTTCTTTTGTGACTCTTTGGACTTTTATTTCTTGTTCCTGCATATGTATAACTAAGTGCTATCTCAGCAATTTAGGCAGAACTCCCATTCAGCATAAACTGTATTAAATGTATGAATCCTGTCTTGATATTCACGGTAGATTCATGGTATTCATTGAGATATGAGTCCTGACAGTCACCCCTGGAATAACTTATTTATTTTGAAATTATTCCTATTTTTTGTAAGTAATTCCACATTTTAATGCATATTGCCTTCAGCAAGTTGAAAGCACCAGCTGAGGAAGCAAGGGTCTCCTTCCCACAGAACCATGTACAGCAGGTGTGCCATTTCATAAGCTTTATTCAAAGTCCAGCAGTCTCACTCGTTCTCTTTCGCCTGGGATATGAACACTATTGAAGGTTTCACTGTTCACTGGTCATACTGAGCTCAAGGCACAGAGCACTAGAGCCAGTCCAGGAGGAGCAGGATTGGGCCCAAAAGGACTAGATGAAGAGCAGGTTCATCTCGTAATTGCAACCCATTGATCACAACTTTTGCCCGGTGTATGGCTTTCTTACTGAAACAGCTGTGGCAGAAGTTAGAGCATAATGTGTCATTCAGCCTACTGTCAGCATCATTTCTGAATATTTAAAAAGCTTGTGTTTAGATGGGAGCCCAGATATGAGCAGCAGCGGTGAACAGACAGAATGCCTCCTAGCACTGCTTGGCTCGAAATACGGTCACTGCATGCTTGGGCTGCCCTCTCTTCTCCATTATTTTGCATAAGGATCTAACAGTTCATATGTTGAAAGCTGTATAAGGGAATGGTGACAGTAACAAAGCAATTGAAATGCTACTGTAGTCCATTTATAATGGGTATAGCTAGTGAAATAGCCAGATATGTCTAAGAGAAAGGTAAATTTCCCAGATCAGCCCTACTGTACTTAATACGTATTTCATTGTCTTTAAAATTGATACTCTTGGGAATAAGCAGGCTTTTTCTGGGCTTTCAAAACATTGTTAATGCTGCAAAGTAAGAGGAGAAAGTTGGCATCAAGCTTAGAGGTGAAATGAAGGAGTCCATAGAGAAATTTGCTCCTTTGGGAATCCACATAACGAAATAGTACTGAAGAATTTGGTTAAGTAGGCCGAGAGTTCAGCGTTTCTTACTGCAGTCTTATCTGCCGGTGTGGAATTTTTTGCTGCCAAAGGTCGCCAATAAATATAAAACTCCTATTCTGACGAAAAATACCAATAGTCTCTCTTCCTTGCTTTCACACACAGAGATACTGCTTGGCCAGAACTAACGTTAGCTAATACAAGTTCAGATTAGTGCCAAAGAAGCTATGCTGTGTTGCACCAAGTTAGAACCTGGCTGAGAACTATTACTACTTTTTTTTTTTTTTTTTTAAATATGCCCCTACTTGTCTGTGAATGACTAATTTTTCCATAAGTTGTATCTCTGGGTGGGCCTCTTGCTAATCCTGCAGATTCTCACTGTGGGTTGATGATTTAGTCTGCATCACTCCATAGCTCTGTATGTCTTCTGGTCTCCAAGATACAATGGAGACTTGATGGTAAAGGCCACTGCCAAGTCCTAACAAACTGCTCAAGTATGAGGGGCCTTTACACGTTTCCTTCTTTTCCTTTTTCCATTGTGTAGTTCTAAGCCACTGGTCTCATTTCCCCTGCTAAATTGTTGCAGATCACTCAAGCTTTCACTACATCTCTCTTGCTCACTTTTTCTCCTTTTCTTTCACCATCAGCCAATCTCACCATTTCTCATTCTCTCCCCAAGCTCCTGCTTAGCGTGTTTTTTCTCTCCCAAATTGCCCTTCAGTCATCAATGAGCTGTGTGTCCATTTATTTCAACCCTTGTTACGCTGTCTTAGATCACTCCTGCTCTCCTCTCTCTAGGTTTTGCATTTCAAGCCCAAGAAAGGGTTCATGGGGAAGCAGTTGAAAAGTGAGATTTGTTGAGGAACCAGGAATTCACTTGGGCTTAGTGGCTGGAGCTTATACCTGAAGCCATTGAGCCAGATAGGAGTTTAACAGATAATAGATCGTAAGACCAACCCAAATTTCATATAAAAATGAATAGGCAGCCTGTTGTGCATGTGTAGGAGGACTTCAGTCTTTCTCAGAGACACCCTTAATATGCTTTTTTCCTGAGACAGATCTGAAGTGGGAGACATCAATGTACAACTCTAGCTTTAGTGCGTCTTTCTTAACTCTCTTGTTACTTGCACATAGTCAAAGATTGTAAGATTTCATTGTTAAATAATATATGCATGGTTTTTAATTTCAGATTCCTTTGCATCTCTGTCTCTTTTGCATTCTCTCTTTCTTTCCCTTCTCCTTTAGGCTGTAAGAGAAAAGTTAGAGCCAGATGATGCTTTGATGTATGAAGAAGATCTGGATGATGAAGACTGTGGTGAAGCAGAATTTGAGGAAACCATGAAATTAAAACTGCTGCGTAGAATCGCCTTCCTAGCATCCAAACTGAGGGAGTTTATTGGCAACATGATAATCACCACTGGAAAAGTTGTTGTTACAATTTTACTTGGTTCGGCAGGTTGGTGCATTTGAAAAATTTCCTCCAGAGCCCATTAGGTTATGCGTTTAACGAATGAGCTTTCGGCGCTTTGGCACCTGTGGGAATAACAATGGAAATTTTTAAGGGAAGAGAAGTTGCTGCTGATTTTATTTAAATTAACTTTTTGGCAGGCATTGGAATATGCTGAGTTGCTTAATTTTTTTGTACTGTGTGGCCCTATCATTTCAGATACGCCTTTCACAGTCACTGTTAAAACTAAACGGTGAATTGCTGACTACTGTAAGTGACTACTTATTTTGTATATTATTATGTGAATTCATAGATTTGGTTCCATCAGTTCTAAGTGTAAAAAGGAACTTTATTCACATAACCTTTAAAAACAAAGAAATAGGAAAGATTAATAGGTCAACCATGTATGGTGTAAAAATAGTGATAAACAAACTTCACGTTGGTTTTTGATGGGGTTGGTAAAAGTAGCTGTTTTGATACAGCATAATAACCTTTTTATAAGACATTTTAATTGGTACCATGTACTCAGTGACAACCAGAATGGAAATGTACAAAATTACTCCAGGTTTGAATTAATGAATTCCAAATTGAATCATGCAGTTGTAAATTAGCATTTATCTGCCTACTCACATGTTTGAATGGAGTCCTTACGTATAAAGTGTCAGTACAAGTGTATACTTAGCGTAGAAGTATGCTAGTATATGAAGCGTACAACAATAGTACAACAAATGTTAGACATGGAATGATGAGGACTGGTCAGGTGTGTCCCTTTTAGTGGGGCAGGCTCTTTCAGTAAGGTAAGATGATCTGACAGCCTTGTATGTAGCCAAATGCAAAGTAATAAAGCCAAAAAGGAAAAAGAATAGGTTATGTGGATCACCGTGGGGCCTGACATCAAGGAAGAGCTGCCATTAAAACAAAACAAAGAAAACAAAAGCCTGATGCCGTTCTGAAATTGCATGGGTGAACATTTCCCAGGGAGGATGAAGCAAAAGGTTCATGCAACAGTGGCTGGGGGCCGTTTCTTCTGAGTGGTGATGTGCAGCTTGTCTGTGGTACTCCAGCATGTGCCTAGAGCTGGGAGGTGTTTGGAGGAGACTTACAGAAAGGACTTGAGGTCTGGGAAGCCTGTATCCCAGAGAGAGACCTTGAGCTTAATTAGTTAAATACTTCCTTACTTCCTGTGCCAAGAAAAAAAAAAAGATGAATGGTGATTTGACTGCAGCTTAAAGTACTGACAAAGGTACAAAGTGCCTCCATTTTTTTAACAGACATCTCGTCCAGTAGAAGTTCTAATACAAGCCAATAGTTAAGTGGTAAACCTAGGTAATTTCAGGCCAAAAATAAATTTTAAATTTTTCACAGCCAGGGTAATTGTCCATAATAAACAACTTACTTATGGATATAGTGGATTCTCCTCCTCCTAAAGTAGTTAAAGACAAAGATCTCTTTGAAAGAAGAAAGGAAATAGTTACAGGCTTGAGGCAGAAATTGTTGGGTGAAGTTTTACAGCCCTCATCATGAAGGCAGTCGGAACAGATGATCCCTGTGGTCCTGCCATACTTTTAAGTCTGTGAGCCTGTGGAGATGCCAGCAAGCTATATGCTGGATCAGGGACACAGCAAAACTAGGCTAAAGACTTGTCTGAAGTACGATGTGCAAGATGTGATGGTGAAGCTCAGGCAAAATAACTGGATAAGAGGTCCTTACAGTGCCTGGACTCAGCCCAACTGGGGTCCAGCCCCCAGAGCGCTGCCACCAGAAAGCATGGCAAACTGGCACTTGGCAAGGTGCAAGTCATCCTGCCTGAATGGTCAACCCAGCTGGAGGGCCAGCGGGCATACCGGAGCCATGGGCCACCTGGAGCCTGCAATTCTCTCCTGAGGAAGGTGGCTCCTAGATGTGCACGAGTAAAAAACTTAACATTTGAGGCAGGCGTCCCTATTAGCTTCGGTACTGTTAGTTAGGAGACTCCACTGGACTGCTGTGCTGGATGTAAGCTCTATTATGTCATTTTCTCATGGTTGCCACTCATAGACATGTGTGTCTTTCCTTCTCCCTCGCTTACTTTTGTAGGCTACCCACAGAGCATCAGGTCTCCACCAGTTAGACGTTCTTACAAGTGAAATACTCCGCTACTTGTGTGAGAGCAAAACCAATATACATATGTAAGGCAGCAAAGTCTTTGTCACATGTAAATTGCAGGTTTCTAAGAGTTAAATTTAAAAAATCAAATATTTACTGAATATTCTCTAGGTTTTATTAAATCTCTTTTAGTATATGCATCAGGGTTTTTTTGTTTTAGTAACACATGATATCTCAAGATTTATATGAGAAGGCTTTTCACTGCTCATCCATCATGCTATTTTAGCATCTTGCACTTAAAATTAATTTCAAAGTCTAATACACCAGTGCTCTCAGGCACTATTGGCTGGCCTCTGGTTTTCTCCATGCTTTGTGAAACAATTCATGAAGAGAAGATTTCACCTCAGAGGGAGGTCTGGGGAATGGCCGTGTAGTAAGTGCTAAGGTATGATGTAAGTGAATTGAACAAAAAGGGGAAGATCCTTTTATTGTAGTCTCTGAGCTAATAGCAGTCTTAAAAGCTAATTGTAATCATTAGCATGAACACTAATTGGTTAAATTGTTTAATACACTTCTTGTCAGACCTGAAGTTTTAATAGATGCTGATACTTCCCACAGTTTTCCAACCCTCCATATTTTTATTTTTACAGGTATGATGGTGCCGTCTTTGACCTCAGCTGTGTATTTCTTTGTATTTTTGGGCCTGTGCACATGGTGGTCCTGTTGCCAAGCATTTGATCCACTGATGTTCAGCTGTCTGTGTGTGTTAATGGCTATATTCAGTGCGGGGCACTTGATTGGACTTTATCTGTACCAGCTACAGTTCTTTCAGGAGGTTGTTCCACCGAAAGATTTCTATGCCAGGTGAGAGAAATTTCTTTCCTGTTTAATTGTGGGCACGTGATTCAGTGGTCTGTTAACACATGTCAATGCAAATCCTCTTCTTCGGAATGCTTTGACAAACCTTATGCATAACTTCATGTTCAGCCTTGGTAGAGTTGAAGGATTTCAGACTGAGTGGTTCTGAATGATAGAGTGGGGAGCGTCACGCCTGGGCAGTTGTATGCAGGGAGCTGGGGCAGGCTGGGAGGGGAAGGTTATCTGAGTTTTGGTCAGTGATCCTCAGATGTGAGTGCGAATGATTTGGCTAAGGCAGGAGTTAAAGGAAATAGGTGGCGGCATTGATAGAAGGGCGGTGTACATGCGTGCGGTTTTTGGTAGAGGAAAAGAAACGCTCTGAGTTCTTACATCACAGAGCGTTTTACTCATTACTACTCTTTTTTCCCCTGCTGGATTATGATTGCAAGTTAGTTTTTGTGGTATATATTTTAGTGCTGTCGTAACCCTTAAATTAAAGCAAATGTAAACCTTAACTTTATTTCTAGTAAGCCTATTGTTCCTTTTAAGTTTTATAAGTTGAAGGTGAAAAGATGTTGGATGTACAGTGGAGAATCAATTAATGATTTATATCTCAATGCACCATTAAAAGCTGTAAAAAATGAGCTGCTAGCTGCGGAAGCTTTGACTTTAACATTTATTTTGAATTTTTATTTAGCACAGGTTAATTGATGTGTGTTTTTTGATGTTGGAATTGGTGATTTGAGGAGACTGATTTGGGAGGGCATAACATTACCTGAAAAATTGATTTGCTTGGTTTAGGTTCTTTTGTGCCACCTAGAGGTCAAGGTGGGGGAATGGGTCATTTACAGTACCAGGTAGCTAAAAAGCTCACAACTTCCCTAAACCCTTTATTTTATGTTTTGTGTGTTCTAAGAAAATAAAGAAAACTTGGCTTCAAAATTCTTAACTATTTGGCTTATGAGGATATAATCTCACAGTGTTCTATCACCAGACGGCAATAACCTTTTTTTGAAGGAGAACTAGTATGTGTTTCATACCATTTGGCTGGAATACCTGCAACTCTCTTCATATGCATCATTTGTAAAAGTCCCTTTTTTCTTTCAGTATTTTCTTACTAACTTTATAGTACTTTCATTTTTATTTACTTTAATATTAAATTAATTTTGTCTCAGACTTATTTTCTGTGTTTAGTTATTTATTTGTAAATTGTGTCATTCTATATTTTATGCTAAATTTTTGTTCACTACAAATACGCTGCTTTAACTTAGTCACTAATTTTTGAAATATAAAAATCTGATTGCAAGTAAGTTGCCTCTGCCTCACTGTAGAAAGAAAAAGCACCTTCAGAATTTGGCTTTAAAATGTGTGGACTTTGTCCAGTGCTGGACTTTGGGGTATATACCGACCTTTTTGTAAGCAGAAAACGATGTTATCATCTTGCAGACTTTCTCTTGAACTGGTACTGTTGTGTACAGATGATACGGTGTGAGGGACAGGTGTTCTAAATTACATAGGAAATTATGTTTGAACATACAAAAAACTGATGACAACTCAACAGAAGCTGCAGTAAATATATCTTCCTTGTTTGTTTAGTCGCAGTTCTTTCTGGTGTGGATTTACTTGATCTACTTTTGGGGAGATGTGTTTGAAGAGCATCAAGACAGGTGTTAGCAGTACTTGGAATTGCAAATCTGAGTGTGAGGGAAAGCCACTAATAACATTTTTAGTTATTGGAGTTGGACTGGCATATAAACAGTGGCTAGTTGAGGGAAATGAGAGACACGTACTGGAATGGTGCAGAAAAAATATTTTAGTATTTTTCTTCTTATAAGAAATTTGATAGCTTGCTATTTTATGTACCATCTTGGTCTGAAGCAGAGATAAATATGCAGAATTCCTATTAATACTAGTGGGTGGCTTGCATGGGTAAATTATATGCTGAGAAAAGAATCTGATTTCCCAAATTCTTCTCTGCTATTCTCACCCAGTATATGCTGCTAATGTCTTTTTGCAAGAGAACAGCAGATCATTCTCCTACTTAGTTGTATGAACTCTCCGTACTTAGCTGCAATAAACTCACTGTATGAAAAAACCCCACCACAGCAGGTACATGTATTTGCATGTGTTAGCTTTGGTAGTATTGCAAACTGACCTTCATCCATATATGAAGGAGAACTGAAACATAAGGAAGAAGGGCTTTTATTTCTCTGTAAAGTTTTGAGGGCTCGATCCCCAGGGCAAGCTCTTCTCAGATGCAAAGGCAGATGTGAAAACTACTCCTGTCAGGCTGCTGGTGGATATTATTTCTTTCTGCAGAGCATGAGGCTGGTGTTTTAAAAAGCCTCTAACATTAGTATTTCTGGGTTTGACAGAAAGTTGACAAGAAATGTTCAAGGAGTTTCTGATCAATAAACAATGTGTTGACTCTGAATAGTAATGCATTCAGCTGGCCATTGTATCGATTGATTTCAGACTACCTGAAGTTAAACTATACCCAAACAAGCTGGAAAGTTCTCAAGTTAATAGTATCTTTCAGCTAAGATTTTCATCATCCTTGTGCTGTTCCTTCCTTTTAAGAGTTCTTTGACTTAATATTCAGTGCCTGTGATTGTAGGAAGTGACTGAACAGTGTCATCGAAAGAAAGCAGTTTTTTTGGAAGGGATAGTCTGACATTTGGTGAATTTACATACTTTGCCCTGAAACCTTATGGCATTCTGCAAGCAAAGTACTTCCCCCCCAAAACAGGGCACTGTGGTAATGTAGCCCTGTGTGTTTGCCTTAGTGCTGTTAGCAAACATGAAGGATTGCCTACGAACTTCAGATCTACTACTGTGGTAGCTGATGGGAGTGGCAGAAGCACAAACCCCCACCTAATTGCTACCCAGTGCGCCCTGGGATCTGCACACTGAAAAAGGTGTACTGAGTAGTGTGAAGCGTAGCTGATGTGTCAGGGGTAGGCATGCTAGCGACAGAGCTTGCACAAAGCTGCCTCTCCCACCAACAGCTTTTCTTCTCCAGACCAGCCCACGGTGGAGACATGAGCCACGGTCGGTCGAGGCAGTGTGCTAACTGCCTTGGAAAGCGTGGTACTGAGTGGCTCAGGAGGACCAGCGTAAATAAGGCTGACTCTATCCTTCAGTTAGGAGTTACCTAGTTGCATAAATTAACACTGGTTATTTACCAAATGATCTCTGTCAAATAAAATGTCCACACTCAATCATAACTTCATTTAAAATAAGTATCTTCTGTGTTGACTTGCTGCTTTATTGCATAATTGGTGATTTACAGAGATAGGAAAACGATAGCAAGAAGTATCAATTTGTCATCTACCTGGGCTTGTGCAA